AACTGTCTCTTGTCCTTTGTTGTCAGATGTAAAACCAACGCACCATTGGATATTGAATCAAATAAGGAATGGTGAGGTCACAGGTGTTCCCTCGGGCAGGAAGTTTCTCGCTAAAGGAGGGATCCGTCTAAATCGTGCTTCTATTGGGTTTGATGGGACTGCAACTTTTATGGACGGCGGTAGCTATGCGGGAACATGCGTGAGCGGTATGTATTGTGATTCCCACAGTGCAGTCATCTCTATGTCTTGTTTGTTTGCTTGTTTGCTTGCTTGTTTGTTTGTTTATTTGTTTGTTTGTTTGTTTGTTTGTTTGTTTGTTTGTTTGTTTGTTTGTTTGTTTGTTTGTTTGTTTGTTTGTTTGTTTGTTTGTTTGTTTGTTTGTTTGTTTGTTTGTTTGTTTGTTTGTTTGTTTGTTTGGTTGGTTGTTTGTTTGTTTGTTTGTTTGTTTGTTTGTTTGTTTGTTTGTTTGTTTGTTTGTTTGTTTGTTTGTTTGTTTGTGTGTTTGTGTGTTTGTGTGTGAAATTTCAATTATTAATTTCCACTCGTTTTCTTGCATTAATATGATGTTGTTGGCCGTTCTCGTTGCACTTTTGTTCTGCTTTGTTCAAGTTCTTAATAACGGTGGTTCTTTATAATTATGAAAAATGTAAAATTTAAGGCGGTGTCTTGACACGTCCCCGTACTAGATTAAGCTTTGCTTAAGTTCGCTAATAACAATATAACACAATACAATGAATCTGTTTGGTTTTCAGACGATCATATCTTAATAGACTATGGTTAACCTTTCCATACAGCCCCGGTCGCGTTTGACTGCCAAATCTCATTGACTCTCATTAACTTTGAGCTGTCATCAACTCTCATGCAACTCTTCTTCCTCTTGTTTGACCGGGGCATGAGAATTGAGAATAAAAAAATATCTCGAACAAACTCTCGCTACTCAACTATCATCCTCGTTTGACCATTCGAACAGGTTGTTTAGTGCTACAGAGTCAAAACGGATTGGTTAAATTAACCACATTGAAATTTCTGTCTGCTAACTGTCTCTTGTCCTTTGTTGTCAGATGTAAAACCAACGCACCATTGGATATTGAATCAAATAAGGAATGGTGAGGTCACAGGTGTTCCCTCGGGCAGGAAGTTTCTCGCTAAAGGAGGGATTGTGTGTTTGTGTGTGTATGTTTGTATGTTTGACTGTTTGTTTCTCTCTCTCTTTTTCCGTTTTCTGTCTATGTGTCCTCATTATATGTCTAATATTTCAATTTTTATTAATCTAGATCCTAGTCTCTGCCCGCGCGGTCTTTCATTTGAAATGACGATCAAAGTAGATCCTGCAGCTACCATGTATCGCGCCCCCCGGTATATACTTGACAGTGGAGCATCTTCGTTTAACTCCAGGGGGATGGCGCTATATACGATGGACAATAAACTGAGAGCTGATGTTGCTATAAAAGATAAAGCTTATTGTCTGGTCGCTCCTCTTGTGACTGACAAATGGCAAGATGTCGTCCTCACTTACCATAAAGATGGAGGTACAACGAGACTTAAGTCCATAGAGATTATAAAAGAATAGAGTGGAAAAATCGAGGTACAAAGCTTTCTAATGGCGGCAAGTAGCTCTCTGATTGGCTAAAAACAAAATTTTATGGATGTAAATTTTCATTCCCGGATGCAAAGCCGCGATGTTGAGGAGGAGCGGTAAATTACGACTTTGAAAACCGATCTTATTTTTCCAGGTTTAGCATAGTTCAAGCAAGGACTAAAAGCTCAAAATCAACAAGAATACCTGGACATTATAATAATACAACACAAGTTTTAAAACCGTAGAAAAGTTTTAAAGTGCTTTTTCCGATGTTGAAAAGCGATGTTTTCTTCAGACTTCGGCACGTCCAAATTTTTATCATTTTCTACGATATAAAACGGAAACCCCTCAATTTCTGGTCACAAATAAATGTAAAACAGCCAGGACTGTTGATATAACCAGGATTGAATACCTGAATTGTAGCCAAAAGGTGAAACAGATTTTCTTGGTTTCACAACTCAAATTTCCCCCCACGCCTCAACTCTCCCTACAATGCTCACTCTATTCTTTTGTAATCTCTATGAATTAAGCTCCAGGCAAACGAGAATACGAGTTGATGAGGGTTGGTAGTCACGAATTGTTATTGGGGACATATCTAGCACTGCATGGATAAACAAAAATAGGCTTCATAAATATTTCAACTACCGGGACGATTTAACTTCAATAGAATACATGATAGTGTTTGGAAAACATTACGAATAGCTAACCAAGGTCGCGTGACTGCCAATTCTCATGCACTCTCATCTCATTCTTGATCTGGGCTTAACACCACCCTGAATTAAACTAAACTAACTTTATTTATACTGGATATCCCTTTCAGTTTTAAACTGTTCTTCCTTAGAAGTCCAGTCCTAATTGCCCGGTGTTATTACAGGAGGACACCTAAAGTAAAGTAGCATTATTTATACCAATGATCTAAACTAAATAACCTATTTATACTATAACCGTAATGAAATTCTTACGGTTAGGCGTTCACACGGCGCACTGACGGTAGAATTTCGTTCCGTTTTCAAACTCTTACGGTTTGCATACCGTTTTCAAACTCTTACGGTTGGCGTTACGGTTCCACATTTTTGGCATACCGGCATCGTGTGAACGCACCCCTAAACGTGAGAATTTCGTTCCGTTTTCAAACTCTGCCGGTGTCGTGTGCACGGGGTCTTAGACTGGAAGCATTCTCCTCACCTGAAACTGAGCGCCGACAAGTAGTCTCATCACGGACTTTACGACCAATTCAACTGATCATGATTTTGACAACAGTAGTATTCTATCTAAATAGCAGTTAAAATATAGTGTACGGCACCTGAATTATTCAATATCTTGCTTGTCAGTGCATCTAAAAGTATACATTTACTTGTTATGCAAATACGGTCAGACTACTTGTCGGCGCTTTTGATGTTAGCGTAATCGCCATGAAGCACTCCCATGTTCCCGTGTAGCCAAACTGCGCTAAGGAGAGGCCATCACCCCCTGAAAACATTCAAAATGACCGGCTTGGCGTAGGCGTTCAGGGGGGGGTGAGTGCTTCTCGTGAGCGCACTGGAGGGCGAGTGCCTATCGTCGCAAATTGTTTTAAATATCTTTATAGAACTGAACATGTATATCAATTGCAAGCTCGTGGCAACGACCGAGAACGATGAGCAGTGTATAAGTTGCCATACGTCAGGATGTCATTCCACTGATTCTAACACGAAGCTCGTCCTGGGCAGAGCTAACAGTGACCCGCAAAGTAATTTTGCCCGATTCAAGGCCGGAGATCTCTCAATTTATGAAAGATATTTGAAACCTCAGGATATCGATAAAATATGTGGCTTGTCGAAACGTAAGTTTGTTTACTCTAATATTAGAGACTTTAAGATTGATGCTTACGGGCAAACGTCAAAGTACAATTTCTTCGTGAAAACGGAAGCATAATTAGCTACTTTGCTGTCGAAAACTTATTGAACCTATTTTAATAGGTCTCTAACATGTCCGTGAAATGTGTCGCTTTTAAATTTTTTAACATTAAACAATTATTGAATGAGGTTGAGTATGATATCGAAAATTATCAAGGCCGAGGTTTGTGTTATCTACCGAAGCCTTGATAATTCTCGATATACGAAAACCGAGTTCAATAATTGTTTTATTTTATATATTCAAAAGCTAGAAAGAAAGAAAAGCCATTTTGTTTACGCTTTTAAAAATGTGGGATTTTCGCAATGGACAATGGACCGCGCCGGGGCTTGGTAACCACCGAACTTCGGTCCAAAAAAGGATTATTGCACGCTGATGGTGTCAGCAGCTGAAATAACGCGACGGCTTCAAGATACCGAGAATTATGCGATGCGTTTTGACCAATCCCGAACGAGAATAGACTTTGAATATATAATATTGCTGTGAGCTTCATCGGGTGTTAATACCCCTGGTCACCCAATTTATATTTTCAGATAACTTAAATGCCTAGTTACCACTGTTCTGATAATAGGGAGCTTTAGATTTGACTACGAGTACGAGATTCGTCAAGCTAAGCGCATGCTGTATGCTTACGCCATCCCGTACTGACAAGAAAAAGTCGTAGCCGTCGCCCATCTGAGTACGAAATTGTGGAGAATTCTCGTAGTCCTCAAGACGACTTTTCCAAAAAAAAAAGAAAGTTTTTTTTTGTTTACCAAAAATAATTTGTAGCGTTTATAATATATTGCCGGCGCAAATAATATATTAGTACTAAATATCTGGCCTGTTTTTAATGTTTTGACTTATTTAGACGTTTTGTAGGGGATTTTGGTCTGCAGGAGATTTAGTTTATGAAACTTTTTCTCTCGTTGTTGGTTTACTGTTATAAAAGCAACATTTAATTGGAAACGAAAACGACTACGGTAATTTCCTCGCACGGGATGAAATCTCGTACTCGTAGTCGTACTCGTACTCAAATCTAAAGCTCCCTAATGCATGCATGCGGGAATGAAACAAATGTAACGTTGGTAACCAAGCATTTAAATTACATTTGTGTGTAAATTGGGCAGCAACGGTCATAGACACGTGTTAGCTGATTAGATCTGTTCACTATTTTCTTTACAGTAACTTCTTTTCCTATCTACAGCACAAAAGCCAAGTTCACAATCAGCAAATTATATGCAAGCCAATCCTGGTTGGAATTCGCCCGTCCTGAGTTCGTATCCTAGAACTCAGCCCGGCTTTCTTAAAAGCGCAATTTTTGGTAAGTAATACCCTTCAACTATTATCCAATCGGGTGAGATGCCAACAAAAGCTTGATATTTGCTGTGTTGGTGTAATGTACTCAGGTGAATAAGATACTTGTGTGATGTTACTCTGAGTGTAACCATAAGATGCTTGTGTGATGTTACTCTGAGTGTAACCATAAGATGTTTGTGTGATGTTACTCTGAGTGTAATCCACACCGGGCAGGCTTGAAAAATATGCCTGGCCACGGTGGGATTCGAACTCACGACCTTTGGAATACTAGCCCAATGCTCTGCCAACTGAGCTACGCGGTCAGGTCGGTTCGAGAATGCGATATTTTCGGAACTGAGTCTAGTTCCTTCGATATCAGTGTTATCTAATAATCATGATATTTGATGTGTTGGTGTAATGTACTCAGGTGAATAAGAAGATGCTTGTGTGATGTTACTCTGAGTAACATCAAAAGTAAAAGCTTGATATTTGCCCATATCCAACTTGATATTTACCCATAACCAACACATGGCAGTACCCTAGTATATATACATCAACTTGTGGTTAGAGCTCGACAACTGGCCTCTGTAGCTCAGTTGGTTAGAGCACTGTACAGGAATCGCAGGGCCGCAGGTTCGATTCCCGCCAGGGACCTGAAGTCGCCTTTTTACGCAACTGTCCCTCTCTATAATACCCTTCAACTGTTATGCCAACAAAATCTTGAACTATTTATATCCATTGTATAAATATTGCTGCGTGTACACACCACTGAGCTCTCTATATATCTGGAGCAAGAGCTTGAGTCATTCGGCCTATAAGAAAAGCGAAAGATGGCGGAGTCGACTTCCAATAAGTATGAAGGTCGTAATCAGTTTTAATAACGGATATCGTACGTATGTAACGGACACCATCGCTAATCCAACATGAGCTCCACCTTTGAATTTACTATATGAGTAAATTCTTAAACACATTTATCATTATGATAAATTCACGGCACATTTTTTCAATTTTTTTGAAAAATAGTTTTTAAAAGAGTTTTAAAAAGCAAAAAAGTTTAAATTTAAAAAGTTAGATTTTTAAAAAAGTTTAAAAAGTTTAAAAAATTTAAAAAGTTAAAAAAATTTAAAAAGTTAAAAAACATTAAAAAGTTAAAAAAGTTAGGGGTTAGTGGTTAGGGTTGGGGTTGGGGTTAGGGTTAGTGTTAGGTGCCGCGAATTTATTATTATGATAAATTCAAAATGTGCCGCGAATTTATCATAATGATAAATTCGGACGTGTTTAAGAATTTACTCATATAGTAAATTCAAAGGTGGAGCTCATGCTGCGCTAATCAAATCTGCCTCGTCCCTTGGGAATAGAGATCAGTGGAAAAACAATGGGAGCGCGGTGCTTAATTAATCAAATTACCAGTGCATAAAACGGCATCAACTATTTCGCTGACCTCAGAATGACATTTCGTCAAAACGTTTTTGGATTGGTTTACAAACAAATTTGGAGTAGGGTTAGGTTAGGGTAAGGATTAAGGTTAGGGTTAGAGTTGGTGTTTGGAGTAGGGTTAGTGTTAGTAAAACCGTTGCTTTGTTACGTTTTGTCACTCTGAGGCCAACGAAATAATCTCTTCCGCATAAAACCATAGTATTATTCTTTTAATCGAAGTCAAAATACGAAATTTCGGCACACTCCTTGCAGACCGCGCAGACAAAAACAATAGAAAGGGACTGAAACTGACGTCCAGTAGCTCCATCTTTGACTTCACTTTTTGAACTCGAGTTCTCACTCCAGATAAAAATGGAGCTAACTGGGACACACTGAAGAATCATTTGACGAACTATCTTTTCTTTGCCCAAGTTTGCCTTATATTTCCAGCGCTTTCTTTTTTCAGGCCCTCAGAGAAAGCCACAAAACGCAATGAATGCCCCTTATGCGCAGAAAAAGACGCAGAGTGCGTTAAATGTCCCTTACTTTTCACCGTGGGGCACCTGGACAACGTGTTCAACGTCATGTGGCCTGGGAACGAAAACTAGGCAGCGGTCATGTATTTATACGCATGCGCAAAGTGGTTGGCAGACTTGTCATGGCGTCACGTTTCAAGCTGAGAAATGTAGCTCAAACTGTCCAGGTATGATTCTTGATTCTAATTGATTCATTTAGTTAAAAGACAAACGTTATTGTATGCACCAGTTTAGTTGTAGAATACTATCTACATTGGACCCACATGCTTGAGATATCTTTTTCAGGTAGTTCAGACACAAACCATACACGACAGCTCATTCTAGAGTACTACCTAGACTGGCGGGCACCACGTTGCAGATCTCTTTTTCAAGTAGTTCAGACACAAACCACGACAACTTATTGAATAGTGCTATTCCTTTACTGGACCACCACGTTTGGGGTATCATATCTTAAAATCTAACAAACGAACATTAACGCTTACGAATCATTTCATTTTATAGATGTACGTCAGCATGTGCAGGCACACACACAGACAGCAACCCGCAAAGATTCTCAGCCTGCACCAAAAACAAACTCGGCCAACCAAGCTCATAAACCTGCCGTCGCTCTAACGAAACCTGCAGTCGCTCTAACGAAACCTGCAGTCGCTCTAACGAAGACAAATTCGACTGTTTCTAAAGGAGAAGAAACTGCTTCTGGGAAACAGAAAAAAGAAAATAAAAGTGAGAAAAAAATGGTGAAATTTAAAACACGGAAGTTCTAAGTCTGTTTTTCAGTCAAGCCCGATTAGGCGAAACGTCGAAGTTCTTTTTGTATTTTCCAGCCAGGTAGTTAGTTCCTCTACCGTGTCGCAGTTTTAAGCCTGTTTGCGTGATTTTCAAAGCACGAGTACCGCTCGACTTGCCCGTTGCATATTTGTGTAATTGTTCTTTTACAATACAATAATCATCGGCGAGAATCTTCACTAATTTTTCAGTTAGACATGTGTTTCACAGAAATATATCTGTCTATATACACATGGTTACTTTAAACAAAATTATTAATTGTGAGAAATAGCTGGAAATGCACTTTCCTGGCTTATTTTCAAAATATTCTGGGGCATGCTCCCAGACCACCTAGGAAGGTTCGAAACTTCACCACGAATTTACTTCACCTCAACACCAGCGCCCCCTCACTACCCCCACCAATCGTAAAATCGCTGCGCAGTCCATGTTAAGTAGACCTAAACAGACATACCTTATTTTTCTGATCTGTATTTCTTGCAGAAAACACAAAAGATGTAACAGGAGCAAGAAGGGATAAAATTTCAAAAATTTTGTCTAAATTGGTGAGTTAGGTCCACTGATCTGGTCGCGGGTTCCGTTCACACAGGCCAGATGAATTCGGAACCGTCCTCAAATTCGTCCAGTTTCGCCTTGCGTTCACATGGGACGCATGAAACCGGACACATTCCAGTACAGCTAACCGAACGAATTCGAGACGAAATAAAATTAGGTCTCGTTTCGTACCGGAATAGCTCCTAAACTAGACAACGCCATGTGAACAGTGGAACCTGTCTTTTTCAAGACCATTTTGCACGGTAGAGGATTGGAATTGAGACTGCCTGAGACCATCTGCGCACGCGTACATAAATATTTTCGGGACTACAATACATGATTCTAGCTACAGACTAAATTTTGATCTAGGCAAGAAGAACAAAATCCATCACTACAGCTAGAAAGAGCATTTTACAATTAGCAAAATTGCAAAGTTTGGTTGCGAAATGTTGTAAAATGCGAAGAATATAGCCCTACGAAATTTGCAAATTTTGTATTACGCACGGGAAAATGCACCATTTTCGGCCCAAATGTGGTGTATTTTCCCGCGCGTAATACAAATTAATACAAAATTTGTATTCATTCAAATCTCTGTTGGTTTTTGTTCCAAAATTTAGTCGGCAAATTATGATTTTGGACACCATAATAAAAATAAATTATTTGCACGGAAGCTATCAAGTGATATAGGCTTGCGAAAGGAAGCCAGCAGTAGGGCTGATTTTTCTCGCGTAAACACGCGGTGAAAATGAGCCCTATAGGGCTAGCCCTTCATGTAGGGCTCGTATAAACACCCCCTTGATCAGCTATTCCATGCAGTTCTAAACTGTTCTGAGCAGAAGTCCAATACTTCCAGTAAACGTCATCACCTGTTGATCCAGTAGTGTTGAGTTGAGTCAATTAACTAGACGCGTGAAAATCTCACAGCTGTCAATAAGATGTGTTCGCACTGCTTGTTCCCAGTCATTCGCACTGCTTCTAACAAGTTTGGAACAAGTTATCATCTTGTAACAAGTTTGGAACATGTTGTTATCATCTTGTATAACAAGGTTGATAAGGTCAACAGACTCGCAACAAGTTGTTCCAACAAGTCTGATATCGTCTGCACGTAACAAGTTACCAAGTTGGTGATATAACAAGCTTGTAGCAACTTGTTACGAACAGTCTTGTTGGAACAACTTGTAGCAAGTCTGTAACCGTCATCAACCTTAAAAATTGTAACAAGGTGATAACAACTTGTCCAGGCTTGTCAAAAAACTGGGAATAATCAGTGCGAACACATCTTGCTATCGGCTTGACAACAACCTTGTTACAACTTGTTTGCAGATCTGTCTATCACCGATCCCCTGCAATGTGATGAATGATTGAATTATCGTGTCTGCTGTACTTTTCTTCAATTACATATATATTTCTTATTTCATTTTAAGGGAAATCTACTTGGCAAACTAGATAAATAGCTTGGTCATGTGTCGGTCATCAATGTTGTGAGTAATGACACTATATGCAAGTCTATATTCTGAATAAAAGACAACGGTTGGTAACTACGGTGCGTTTGGTTGTCGATGTTTCGACTTTCGGAGGTTTTTTATAACTTGGATTTACTTAAACATGGGGTATTGGGTATAGTAAAAGCATCTACAAACGGTCCATTTGGGGTCGTTCGATAGGGTTTGGGTTTTTGAACTTACTGGCATGAGTACAAGGTGTTGCATGTTTTTACGCTTCGACTCACAAGGAACTTTGTAAGTTAGTACTATGTAACTATGTTTAAATAAAACAGTATATATGTTTTACTTTTCTACGCATGAATATAATGTATATATTATAGAGCTCTTAATAAAATAATATGGTTAGTTGTATAAAAAGTGTCTCAAACGTGGGGGCCATGGCTTGTTTTTAATGCTAACTTTGGCATTGTCATTGGTGATACAAATTACAAAATAAATTATTAGAAAAATGATGAAAGTTACTGCATGGCGCCGCCTAACACGCTTTATAAAAGCAATTTGACAGTCAGTTTCATTTTAGAGCTACTGGTACGCATGCCTGAAAATTGTTTGAAAGGCTGATGGCTTGGCTGAATGGTCTTGCGTCAACCGGTACCCGCTAATGTCAAACGCTTGTTAATAATGGTGGAACGGTTAGACGATTAGATTTAAAATAATTTTAAAAATCTCACAGAATTCGTGTGTTTTTGTAACAGAAAACGTTTTAATAGGACAAGTGTTGTTATCTGATCGAAGGTAAGATGATACGATATTTTTAGTAAGTGATTTTATCTAATATATGGACTGGAATATTATCGATTATATTAATATAGTAAATATATTTATGTAGTCTTTGACTTACTAAATTTTGACTTTGTTGCCTTTATTCCATGGTTAAGATTTTCCTTTAGTTCCCTTTGGTTATATGCACAGTTTGCATCCATTTAAATAGTACTTGAAGCTATTTTTTGGTATAAAAATTATATTATTCATTGACATTGTTTATTTTTAATTGTTGTAAAGACAATAGGGTTCAGTAATTAATAAAAAAATCCCATCTTAGTTTTGCCTTATTCTGCTTTACTCTTTAGTCTTTAAAATTGTTGATATAAAATTTTTTCGTTCATAATGGCATATTTACTCAAAAATTGAGTAAATTTGAAACTTTACTAAAAATTTCGAGTCTATTTGCTCATAAATTTAAGTAATTTTACTGGAAATTTTCAATCATCGTCTATCAATATATTCATTCATAGTCTATCAAGAAAATTCTCTCCATTTGATCCGCACACGGGAAAGGTAGAAGCTAGCTTATGAAACATATATATATATATATATATATATATATATATATATATATATATATATATATATATATATATATATATATATATATATATATATATATATATGTGTATAAAAATAAGTGTCCATCCAGGGTCACAAGGCCTGGACACTACGTTTGATCACTATGATCACGTAGTGAGCTCACGAGTGGAAGGAAATAAAGTAAGCAAGACCTTGAGAAAAAAACTCAACAAAAAATATCGAAATCATATATTATGCTCGTTCGTGGTACCACGTTCTTGAGCACTCTATAGTTCATTGTATAGACTTATGCGCGCCTCGTACTTAGCGAGTGTTGCTGCTTTGTCGAATGTCAAACAAAGACATAAAAATATGAAATATATATAAATATATATATATATATATATATATATATATATATATATATATATATATATATATATATATATATATATATATATATATATATATATATATATATATATAGAAGGCGCCAAAACCGTGTAATGTCAGCACGGTTTTCCAAAACCATCCCATCCCTTATGAACTAGCGCTTAATAGTTTTCCACATTACAAGGATAGTTGTCCTAATATATCCCAAGATTTTTTACGATATACTATAATATCAGTTCATTGTTTATTGAATATATTCATGGCTTAATTCCCATTCATTTTGCTTTGTGCAATTTTTGGCCATATATACGATTACTGAGTTCAGCATCAGAACAGGACTAATTATGTATCCTGGGCTTTACCGTAAATATGTCAAACAAAAACTCCCCGAGCATATTGACTCAAAAACATGGGTAAGATAATGCATGCACCCACAGTGACTCTAAATTTTGAGTAAAATTACTTAAATTTATGAGCACTGAATAGAGTCTTTTCAAAGTTTCAAATTGCTCATAAATTTGATTAATTTTACTCAATAATTTTACTCAAACAATTTTACAGTACATTTGTGTGGCCATGCATATACAGTACTAACGCCTGTGTTCTAAAAGCTCACTCAAAGAGTGGAGGTTCAATCTGAGCTTCCCTTGAGCATCAGTGCTGTTTTTGAATAGCTGGAGGGTTAGTAGTCACATAGTAAGGTACGGGACTAACCCTTCAGCAATTCAAAAACAGCATTGACACTCAAGGGAAGCTCAGATTGAACCTCAACTCTTTGAGTGTGAGCTAGCTTTTAGAATACAGGCGTAAGCATCAGAATAGACTAATTATGCATCCCGTGACTTTACCGTAAACATAACAAACGTTTAGTTTAATCATTTTAGCGATGCAACCACGATCAGGAATTATCTTCTTTTCCGTTGCTGTTATTGCTGTGACTTTGGGAGAACCTTTATTTGACAAGCTGCATCCGAACAGAGATGAGAGATTTCAGATAAAAAATGCTGGTAAGTTTCAAGTGAACATGCCAATTTCTACCATTTTAATTTTTTCTATATTATAGTTGCCTAATTCTAACGTTTAGTCACCTTTGACTTTGTTCTATATTGTATGTTTCGTAAACTAAAACGGTTGTATTAAAATGTGAGTTATCCAAACTCACACAATTCTCCAATCCGAGATGACGTCATCAATTTTCCATCACACACTCTACAGATCTATCATTCAGGGCGCGACTTACGTAGGTTTGAACATTTTGTTTTTCCTGTACATTTGTGATTTGAGCAGAATTTCCATTGCAGTGAAAATGTTTCACTCATCCCAGTGGAATTTCCAGTCATTATTTGTGTAGCGCGCTGAATGTCCAAAACAGCATGAAATTTTCCGTATATAGACTAATTTTATTAGCATGAAGATCTCAAATCTGCATGGGGCGGGCATTTTTGCCAAATATGATAACGCTAACTCACATCAGCGAATTGTATATTAAGCCTCGTTTCCATATGATCGTAACGGTCGAAAAGATTGAGTCACGATCAGCCGAAATACAACATTTTAGAACTGAAAATACGCGGAGTGATTAGAACTGGAGAATGCTTATGATTTATATGTGGTTTACAGGTGCATGTAAACTATTTTAAACTGGCCGTTGAAAAAGATCGTGATTCTATTTTTACGACCATGTGGAAACCAGGCTTACGTACGAGTCACTGAATCATATAGACAATAGACCTTATGCATAATGACGACACAAGGCTTGATGCCCGCGAGGAATGCTGGTCTTAGTAGTCATCGCCCGAAAATTAAACAATTCAAAATGGCCACTATCGAAATTTTCCCGGGCGATGACTACGAAGATCAGGATTCCTCGCGGGCTTGAAGCCTTGTGACGCCATTATGCATAAAGTCTATTGTATATAATGCTCAGTTATATATTATATGGGGTATATACTAAGCAATAGTAGCTACATGTGAGTTCTTCTTTATAGGTTAAGTGGGTTTTTTTTGCTAAACATGGTGGTCAAATTCAAATTTATTGACTTATGGGATCGAAAAATTTTGATGTTTCCATTGCATGTATTTACCACCAAACTGTCTTCTCTGTTAGGATTAACCAACCCAGATAAAATAGCTTTCACTCCCTAACACTTCGTAAGGCAGATCGTGGCCAACCTGCAGTTATCAGAGTGAAAAATTAATGTGGAATTGGGAGATAAGTTTAATTTCGTGCTCCGATAAGTCAACTGATAAGTTAATACCATAAACTTGGGGGGTGGGTGACTTGTCCCCCAGCCCGTTTTGGCCCCTCCAGTGAACTATGTAGTGTTTGTAGTCCCCCAGTGAAGGTTCTTAGAATTCTGTCTAAAATATAACCAAAAAAGGGAAGAATAACTTAGTTAAGAAGAGTATTTTAGTATTCCCATGTCCAAATATTTGTCTAGCAGATGAAATATATAAAACAATTGTGTCTAAAAATACCGAAAATCAAGCCCCAGACACTTAAAAATACAAATTTTTCGGTTTACCAACTCCAAGTTCGGTCTCTTTCTCTTGATGGCCCCTCTACTGACACATTCGTAAAAGAAGCCCTGGTCTCAACATTTTCGAAGGTGACGACAGCACTTACTCAAACCGTCCAATAAACAAACATTAGCTAATACTGTGTTTTGCATTTCTTTCTAACAGAATTTCAAAGTGTTGGTTGCTGGAAAGATTCGCTTGATACGAAAGCGCTGCTTCCACTTGAAAACAAACACCCGCTCCTTATGGACGGCCATGGCGAGGCTCGTGCCAATGCCATGATGAAGTGCGCAGAAGCTGCGTGGGACCTGGGACTGAAAATCTTTGCCCTACAAAATGGCGGCGAATGCATGGGTGAATCGGAGGGTGAACGTAAATACATGAAGTATGGCATGTCTAACCTGTGTCATGGTTAGTACTAGAGCAGTAGTTGGTACAGAGCGTTGGCACTCATTCCCCAGGGACCAACTCAACAAAAGCCATGGCAGCCATGTTGGTGTTCCACACAAAAGAGTCCAATTAAAATTATTTTGAATTGGAACACCAACATGGCGGCTGTGACGTCATGTGCAAACGCTCTATTGGGAATTCCTTTTTTTCTTATTGCAGTAATGCATCATGCCTCAATGACCCCCTCTAGGACCGTTTGCCAACGCTCCCTTATCATCCGACTCTCATCAACTTTGAGCTGGTTGAAATTTTGATGCGAGTTGATGAGAGATAATTGCTCGTTCGGTAATATTTCACTGAACTCTCATCAACACGTGTACATGTTCTCGTTTGTTTGGGATGTTAAGTATGCTACTGATGGTTGGGGATAAGGTTTTCTTGCTCGATAGGCGATCCTTCTCTGACTTGATGTGTTTGAAAACTGATTATTTAATTCCTCCATTTTACTGATGCTTTTCACCATATCGAGTTAAGCAAAAATCTATAGAGAGTATCTGTTTGGCTATTCACTTAGGAGACTATATATAGACTTTTAAATTTTTCAAACAAAAATTTCAAATTCATAAAAAATAACTTTGGCAAAAAAGTTAGTAAGCTGTCGATGTGTACTTATGGGTTCAAAATTCGACAATAGCCTCAACTAGCCTTCCTCACGTCATGTGACCACTCCTTGTCCACGATTTTTCGGTGGCAAACCGCACAGCGATAGACCTCAACAAGAGAAGAAGTGAATTTAGTGACACAGTACTATACTCCACTACTTACTCCATCAAATCACTACTTTCCTTGTTGTCATCTTCTGTCGCTGCGCGATTTGATACCCAAAAATGGCGGACAAGGCCTGAGAAAAGCTAATTATTTTAAACAATTATTCTACAGGCGATGGTCTCGGAGGTCCATATGTCAACGAAGTCTACAGGTACCAAATGACATAAAATTTTAAGAGGCAATTTTTTTCAATGTCACGTATTCGCAATGAAAAGTGTTCAAAACCTAAAATCTTTTTGGCGTTCCTCTCAAAAATTACTATGTTTTAGCTTTATTCTCTAGTTTATAGAGTTAGCTACCTTTCTAAATGCATCTGCCGGTTGAGAAACATAAAATAATAGTTAAAAATTGTCAATTAAAATACAATTATCAGTGATGCTAAACTGACGCCATATTTACAGTCATATAAGCAAAACTTACTGAACTTCAGACATCATTTTCTCTTTGGCGTATCATCTAAAATCTCTTCATTTTAGCATTATTTTACAGATAAAGCACTAAACATACTTTTTAAGCTTGTTTGCCGATTGAGAAACGTATCGAAAAATACAAATTTTGAATTTAGTCATAACCTCAAGTGATATATTATACGCATTAGTTTTGAGCGCGTGTTACGTAACATACAAAAAAATCTTCTCTTAAATTTTCATGCATTATTGAAGATTCGTGTGGAAACATACGTAGGATCGAACGTATTCCCATGAAGTAAAGATGCTGTCCACAGAACAAAACCATGGCTCTTCACGTAACGTTCAGGGTTACAATAGTGATATCCAATGATCAATGTTCCACTGTCTTTTCATTGTTTTGAAATCTCACTGTTCTCAATGCCATGCAGTCACAATCCAATGATTGGAACGTTCCATTGTTTTTTCATTGTTTTGAAAATGCCACTGTTCTCCATGCCATCCAGTCATTCATTGTTTTTTTCTCCCAGGTTCCTAGGCAACAATGTTTTACCGCGTGATGGATCGTTCACTAACTGGCAGCAATGGGGAGGATGTAGCGCATCATGTGGCCCGGGGACTGAGACGAGAATACGGACCTGCACTGATCCAACGCCTTATGGCGGAGGCAAAGATTGTTCACGGCTGGGGGCTCCGTCCGAAACACGCAAGTGCAATGTTGCTAACTGTTAAATTAATGAAGTCATGTTCGGCCTCACTTGTGTAGAGATGTCAAGAACACAAAAAAGTTGAGAGCCTTAAAAGGTTGTTGTTACAAGACGTTTTAAAAGGCTTAAATACTTTTGTTTAATATACATTCGCTCCACGCTTTTACTGTAATTACCATCAACAACGTGCTTCTCTATTCGTAAACAAACGAGTAACATGTAAAACTATGTATTTTTTTAATCGAACTAATGAGCGTTTAATAAAATTCCGCCAAGGTTTTAACTTACTTATTAATTTTCTAAATATTTTGCAATTTTACATTTACCAACTATGAAGTTTTCTTCCGTAACCTTGTTCTCTAGTTCCAAAGTTACATTTCGAGAGTTTATTTTTTACTTAAACGCCGAGAAATCCTGCTGATTTAATAGTTACACTGGATAGAGAACTGAATTCATGAAATTTTCAGGTTTCGTACGCCCTGGAAATCCTCGAAAACCCTGGATTTTTATTTTACTCCTGGAAACTGTAAGTCCTGGAAGTAGCGGCGCAGTCGTCAAGGATTCAACGCTCGCTACGGGTTCTAAGCTCTGGCGAAAGTCGCGGTTTTCTCCGGGCGCTCTGGTTTTCTCCCAAAGGGAAAGTTGACAGGGTGGGTTAGCATAAACATAGTCAGGAAAGTAATATCACAATTGTTGTAAAGATAATTATTATATGGCTTTTCAAAATTCTCCATTCTGATTGGTTGACAAGTGGTCCGTAAAAACCCAAATCTGGACCGTGGTCCGTATTTTCCGTATCTGGACCGGTGTCCCGGATGTCGTTTATCTGGCGGGAAATTTTTGCTTTGCAAACAGAAAATTTTTTTGCTTTTTAATTTTCCAATTGTGTGTCATTAAACTTTACAGATAAAAATTTCAAACAACCAAATTGTTTTTGATTGAGCATGCATGCCTACTGTATATTGTTACCCAGTGAAACTGACGATAGCCGATTTAATTCGCGCGAAAAGCATATGCTCACAGACTCATGCAGTTCAGCCATATAATAAACTGATTATTGACCTTGCTTATCCGGTCTGTACTGTGAAATATCAGACCTCTGTTTTTTGCATGGACCTCGCTCCTTCGTCGCTCAGTCCATACTAAAAAACCTCGGTCTGATATTTCACAGTACAGACCTCACGCTCGGTCAATAAGCCGTTAATATTATAAAATAAGCCGTCCCGCGGGACGGAAACCCGTCATTTGAGACGGAAATCCCATCCCGCGGGATGTTCAAAAGCTAAAACCGTTTTTATATAATTTTTTTCGGGATTTTTGGAGATTTGAAATGGATTTTCCGTTATTTGGATATTTAGAGACTTTTAGGACTTTTCACAAAATCTCCGAGGATTTTTAGAAGCGAACATAGACTATATAACTGAATATAACTGACATAACTATGATATAACCCAACGAAAAACATATACTGTATAACTGCAATTGGATTCAAGATATTATATACTTATAGCTATAATTATAGAGATTTGACAGCGCAGTTAATTTGTTGAAGACAATAATCATAGAATACAGATCCATATAGAAGGGTCACTTACGTCGGAAGCTTTGAAGTTTCTGTCCTCGCGCATGTCGCATTACGCATGTTGGCCGCCACTTTCCTAGCCAGTCAATGACATTTTCTGGCCAATAAACACGCTGTACTGGCTGGCTGCCCCGCCTTCTGGCCAGTAAACTGCATATTTTTGCATAAAAATACGCGGACACGTTGCACCGATGAGTGGCCCTTCTGTTACTGATCTTTATTCTGTGACAATAACCGATCAAGACAAAACGCTCACTGAGTTCTTTGGTATGCGCGTGTCTTCTCAGTAGACAATGGTCAATGCCGAAAACCGATCCTGATGTTCTGTTTTTGACAAACAACGTGAGTCATCGACCCCAACATAATTCCGAACGCGCTAATAAAAGCCGATACAAGGTCGCAAGCTTTTCATTCAGCCGGTTTATTCTCTCCTGCAAGCACATCACTGCTCTGTCTTAGTGTGTTCACATTGAAAGAAAAAAAGTCTCAAAATGCTTCGTAAACTGACTAAAGAGTCTAAAGTGTCAAAGTATGCGGTTGCATAGCGTTTCACGAATAGCGACAAAAGATGTTGTTATGGTCGAAGGTGGCGGAGAAATTAAACGAAAATCTAAAGTTTTTGTTATGTTGAAGCGTGAAAGATTTTCTAGCCTACATTTTATATCTTTCTGCAGGTAAGTATACATATTTCAATGCGCGGTCCCCAAGTTCGTTGCGAACTTGCCAATTACGTTTCCAAGTTCGGAAATTGGGCGTGAACTGTCATATTTCTTAACGTTTTGTTTTAAATCCGGATTTTAATATTCGCGGGACGGGACGGGATTACTATCCCACGAGACCGGAATCCCGTCCCGCGGGACGGGATACGGGATTGTTAACTTTCCCGTGATCGGTAATGTCAACCTCGCAAGCCAGGGGCTTTTACCTGCGCTCGGGCTCCGGCGAAGACCCTGGTTCCCTCTGGTCACGTGAACCCCCAGATTTTAGGGGTAATTCGAATTGCCGCCTCTTTGCCACGTAGGGAGGAGTGGTAGAGGGAATTCAAGAGCGAAAACTAAAAATCAATAACTATGCCTATGGAAAATACGGCCATTTACGCTCTGTATTAACTCATGTTTTGGGTTTTGTCGGTTTTTGTGTTATCTTTTATGAAATATGTCACCGCTTGAAAGCTTTTTACACCTATTTGATATAATTTGCGTGGCTGGAGGTCTGTTTTACACCTGGAAGTGGAGCCATTATTTATCAACGCAAAGAAAATAAAGCATTAAAGGTCAAATGCA